TTTTTAAAAAGAGATGAAATTGTTAAATACATTAAAACATCCCAACATCGTGACATTTCATGGAATGAGCATTTCTTCTCCAGCCATCGTGTTGGAGTACATATTTTTCGATTTCAGTCTCTTTGACAGAGACCACAAAGTTCATTTTTTTCTGCGTACTGTTAGTATAGCCAGTTGAATTGAGCACACATACTGGTAGGTTGACTGTAAATAACTGTCATGAACATCATGTCCCATTGGCTCATGAACATCACAACTTAGCAAATTGAAGGAGCTTCGTTCAGTGACCTAATGATGTGATAATGAATTGTACAACACGAGCTAAGTACTCTTAGGCCAAGGCCACATGTCGAACTTTTCAAGAAACGAACCAAACTTAGTGAGTTAGCTTCATCAAAAGTTCGACGTCTGGCTTTGTTGAGTTCGTCTGAATGAGTTTTCCAAACTCGTTCTATCCGTCTGTGTGTGTGTGGGGTGTGTTGGGGGGTGGGGGGGGGGAGGGGCGTAGCTGCTTCGGACGAATAGAACACCTGAAGATCGTCTCCGTAAGCTGCTTCGGACGAATAGAACACCTGAAGATCGTCTCCGTAAGAAACGTCGATCTTCATATCCGACAAACTAAACTGATAAATATAAAATTTGTATAATAATGCACGTTTAGCTTGTTCGGGAGAAAATTTTTTACTGATCTGATTCAGTTGATTGGTTCGACGCGTCCTCAGTTCGGCGTCTGACCCAAGAGACTATCTAAACTTAATTTGGGTGGACTCACATTAGAATGTGGTTCGCCTCATGAAAAGTTCAACGTTTGGCCTAGACCTTAGAAAAGCAAGTTAAAGCTTTATAAACACAGTTTGGTTTATATTGTCTCGTTGAATTTAGCAATTTTAAGCATTAGCAAACGCTCCAGTTGACAAGTGGAATTGCCTTTTAGTGCAACATTAGCGTAACGAAATGTATGAATTGTAGCCTTGATGTTTTGCATGCAAAGCCAGAGCGGAAAGTCTGCATTTGAAAAAGATAAGATAATTTTGTGTACAATAACGGTTAAGTTAATTTTCTAAAATTTCATATTGATCGGCAGAAAATTCAGCCCTAAGTGCCCTGATAAATAAATGAACTTTTTCCTTATTGAGCGTGCTTTAAATTATCCGAACGATTTTCCTTCGGTTCTTATTATCCAGGGTATCATGTTACGACCCAATTACTTCTAACCAAAGCAACGGCACCCCCTGCGGGAGCACTCCGTTATTTTGCTCGAAAGGGTATGTCCCACTGAACTCACAGGGTATGGTTTTTAGGGTCTTGACCAGAGATTTGCAAGGGGATACAATTTTTAAGAACGTGAAGGTTGGCGTGAGTGCTTTACAGTACATTTATTAAGATTTTTTCCCAAAAGAATTTAATTCCATGATGTTGGTTTAAAAAGGTGCTTATAATCATTTCTTGCATGCAAAATAAATAAGGGTACCAAAATAAAGTCTCTTGTCTTAAAAAGAGTCGCTAAATGAACGAACAGGGACAGGGACTGCAAGCTTACACAGTTCACCTCTAACCAAACTTCTCTTCAAGCGTCTCCCTTTCCCCTTATAAAGGTCCTCTGCTCACGTTTTTTTTTTCTCAATTTTTTTGTTTGACTATTATTTATCGAAATTGTTTTTCTAGGTTGTCGTTTTCTAGGTCATCGTTTTCTAGGTCGTCGTTTTTTAGACACCCCTACTACAAGTACAATTGTGTTTGGAAATACGTCACCTAACACAAAACCGCCTTATTTGTTTTCTGCGTTCCAGGCCAAATAACTGCCCTTAGGCTCTACTAAGAAGGAGGGGGTGATTGATATTTTCCTTTTCTTAAAAATCTGTTGACAGTGGCATCTCTAAAACAAAATTGATAGACTGTAAACATAAAATATAAATTAAATATTTCGTAAAAACTATTTTGTAAAACTATATTCAACATGCCAACAGCAACTCACAAAAAGGAAATAACCATTTTAACCCTCCCGGTGTCAGTAGCTTGACGCGGCCAACTTATTCCCGACTAATTGTCTATGACGTAATCATGCAATGTAATTTGCAATACAAGTGCGATAAGTGGGCGCGTTGTGACGTGTATCGTGGGATATAATAAAGTTGAGGCGGATTTCAGCTTGCCGGAAGTAAAATAAACTGTCTTTAGCTTTTATAGTCGACGAAAAGCTTCCTTGTGGCGCGATTTCCTCTGTTAATTGGAAAAATGGCTTAATATAACGAGCACCCATATCGATGTGCACTGCATGTTGGGGCGTGGGCTGAATGAAACCGCATGAAAATTGCCAGACACCACAATACCGCAAAATTTCTTAAAGTAAGGCGCTATAAATGTAAAACTGTACCATACTCTCCCCTCCCCGAGACAAACAATTGCTTCCAAATACCCCACCGTGAGTAAGAGTACCTAGAGGGAACGCAAATTCCCAAAGGGGATGGTCACACTTCAAATTAACTGACCCATTGTAGTTTATTGCAGACCCTTTCACAGGAGTTGAGGGTGCTTCGTTTTCCAGTTGAGTGTATTTCGGTTTCAAAAAATAGAGGATTACTTGGTTCTTTTCCCATTCGTGGTTGTTTCCTTTTTACTTGTAGGTCTCTCCGATTCAGCTTCGTATTTGAGAATCTTTTTTGTGGTTATGAAGTACGTCATAAGCAAAACTTTCGGTTAAGAAACTTGGGGTTGAACAAAAACCCAGTGGAAGTACTCCGGATTTCAAGTGACGGCGATGATCGAAGGATTTTTTGGGTTTGAAATTTTCGATTCCGGGATTTTTTGGGGTAGGAAAATTTGGCAAGTATTATCCTGGGCGGCTTGGTATAACTGAAGATTCGTGGTGGTGCTCGGGTATTTTGGCCGTGTAGTTCTGTATGGGATTTGTTTTTTTTTGGGGGGGGGTGGGGGGGGAGGTAAATTTGTGGTCTAGGGATTTTTTGGTGTTTTGATCTTTGCCCCCATAAAATCATCCACGTCATTGCTGTGGTATAAGTTTTGTTCGCCCTTCTGATAAATAACATTTAGAACTACCGTGAAAAAAAAAGAAAAATCAATTAAATGTATTAAAAGGCAAGAAAGTTGAATTGCGAGGAATAAGCAAAGGTAGTATTTGCTGAACTGATTTTCGAGAAGGTAATTCCATATACATGTTAAATAAGAAGCTTAATATGTCTTCGCCCTTCAGTGGGATTTGTGCTAAGAGACCACAAATCCGAGATGGAATGACCGTCTTAAATAAATCCGCATGGATTTCTTTCTTTCTTTCTTTTTTATCTTTGTTTGTTTTTTACTAAATGGTGAAAAGACGAACTACATCAGTCAAATACTTGTTACAGAAAAAGTTGCGCTGAAGAATTTTGCGCCTTGGAAATACGAAGATAAGGATCAAGATTTATCTAAAACAGTTCATGTCCGAAATTATTAACTAAAATACCTTACGTCAGTTTGTAAGCCTATTAATGCACTCACGTGAAACATAAAAAAAGCGATGCAAACAACAGGAAACTTTTTGAAAACAATAATAGTGTGGCTTGTCTAAAAAATGCACAAATAACATATCATTGAACAATATTATATGCTTGTTACAGGTAGGAAAACCTTTCACTAATTATAAAATCTAATTTATCAAATTTAGCCTACCTGTATTTTCACGAAGGAAGAACTTCTCTTTTTCGCTTCACTGTAACTGTTTCACTCAGTCGTATCTTGATATGATGATATGAAAGGGGCGTCAACTGATTATACAGCCTTTGACAAATCATGTGATCAAAAGGACACGACGTAATTAGTTAATTTTATTTTAAGAAATTGTGTGTGATGACATTCTGCCTAAAAATATATTTTATTCGTCAGTAGTTAGTAAAATGGGGGGACTAGGACAGTTCTTATATATGTTGCTAATATATGCACTTTTTTGGCGGTTTAGGACAGCTTTTATATATTTGGCTAATATATGCACTTTTTGGGCGGTTTAGGACAGTTTTTGTATATTTTGCTGATATATGCACTTTTTTGCTGGTTTAGAACAGTTTTTATATATTTTGCTGATATATGCACTTTTTGGACTTGACCTTGGGAATCCGGTGCAGGTTTGATCCGGTTTTGGGCGGTTTGATTGTAATAATATCTAAGCCCAACCATATCACCATACCGAAATAGCTTGCGACTATATATTGTTTTGGTTTTTGAATCAGGATCTGGATTATAATTTTGATATTTATCCTCATTTGTGAATACAACATGAGAATGATTATTGGTTATTTTTTTGAGTCCAAAATCCAACCTGTCTATATTTGCTTTTGCAATCATATCCAATATTTTGTCGACTATTGGATTTTCAATTATTTTCTTTTTATAAGTATCTAAATTAGGATCTAAATAAAAGCTCTTACCGCATTTATAATCAGCTTTTTCTATTGCTTGCTCAGGCTCAATGAGTACTGATCCTTTGTATCCTTCACAAGTATTTTTTATGATGCCAGAAAGTAGCTATAATCCACGGCATGAAATTCTTGGTTCTTTTAGCTGGTTTAGTTGCTATAATGTTGATTTTAGAGCGGTTTTTGTGTGTTTTTGTACGACTTTTGACTTAATATTTGAGACAAGTCCCATTTCATTGGTCAACTTTTGTTTACTAAGGCTTACTCTACCATTTGGAGGAATATACATAGATATCAAACTAGTGCCTCCTGATAGAGATTGTTGTTTGGCTAAAAGACGCATAAAATCTTCCATATATATATTGTATATAATTATGGAATATAAAAAAGGTGTGTTAAATAGATACTGACTTGTTTTTAGTTTTTTTATTTTTCAATTCGGTGGATATCTTTATAATGCATTTCTAGTGTGTCCTTATTATAAAAGTGTTTGATGCAATATTTACACGGCACTCTGACGCCTTTCATATAATCATGGATATTCATGCATATTTTATCATAATCATTACTGAGTATAAATGCATAACCATTATTAACGTACTTCTTCTTCATCTCCAGTTGGGCTTCTGACACATGATAATTATTAGTTGGTGATTTGAATTCAATACAGAGGCCTTTATAATCTTTGTGATAATCGAGTACCATTAGATCAGGCTGTCCTCTCATATATCCCTTTTTATATGAATCTAGTCTCTTATCCTCAGTATCTTGATTCTCTCCCTGACCGGCTACTAATATAGAATCTGGATAATATCTCCTTATGAGGTCCACTACTTTATAATGGAGGTCAGTCTCATTGCCAATCATGATCATCTTATTCCAGGGACTATCAAACAGCTTGTATTGGCCATATTTACGGATAGATGAGAGGACTGTAGTAAATACCCAATCGCGGAATTTTTTAGCAGCTTCTAATTTGGAACTAAATATAAGTTCATAAAAGGCGGCCTCGTCAATGAATGTGTACTATATACCTTGTTGGACCTGGGGGGCGAAACGTCCATGCCAGCTTTTTGAACCTGACCCGTCCAGACGACGGGGCAGCAGTTGGGGTATACAAGATGGATCATTTTATGGTTCTTAGATAGATTCTTTGTAACAGCCTGATCAGTATCACTATATCCAAGGATCTTAGCAACATCTTTTCCTCGGAACCAAACATTTTGCTTATTATCAAGAAATGAAATCAGTTCGATATTCATCTCTTCATTGGTATACTTTTTTTCAATCATACTTATCATATATATAGGTTACATAAATATTATCATACAAACCAAAAATATGATAAGTATGATAGATTAAAAAGTATGCTAGGCCTGAGGTGCCGTTTCACTACATTGGACCTGGGGCGTCGTTTTGACACCCCCAACAAAACTGTCTTATTTGTTGACCCTTTATTTTGACGGGGCAACACTTTGGACCCACTGGACCCATTTCGGGTCCACTGGCAGTTTACTCATTCACCTCCTCTTCCTCCTCCGTTTTTAAGATTACTTCAAGGACGCCAGTCAATGTCATCTCAGCTGATTCCAGCTTTTTGGAGATTAATTTCTTGTGGTGTAATGTCGCAATCTCTTCTTCCAATTTTTGGATTTTAGTGAATAGTGCATTAAGCTCGGTTTCCTTATTCTGGATTTTAGTATCAAGCTTTCTTATATGATCGTCCACATATACTATTAGTAAGATAATTCTTGCAGGTTGCTTAGCGGAATCCAACTATTAAAGTCGTCACTATAGCCCAACCATTTTACAAGAGCTTGTTTCTTCTTATAATCCCTCCGAATGACCTTTTCAATGCGAAATACGTCCTGTTTAGCCGGTAGTAATTCAGGCTCATAAAAGCTGCCTTGCATCTCCTCATTGTTAAGATCCTTTAATCTATAGGTGATTGGATTTGTTGATTGGATTTTATCGATCAGGAATATCTCCTCTGTCCAATTAGGTGTGTACCCTTTATCGAACACCTTTCTCTTGTACTTACTTATCGTAACTTTATCACCAATCTTGAATTTGGGCTTAGATGATAACTGTTTCATATCACCATACAGATTGTAATACACGATATTTTCATTTTTCTTTTTACTAGCTTCTACAGGTGTCATTTTAATGGAACTGTGTTTGGTGTTATTATACTGACTCAGTATTTTTGGTAGTATGTCTAAATATACGTTATTACCCTGGACAGTAAACTGCTTCCACATTTTGGTTTTAATTGTACGGTTCCATCTTTCACATACACTAGATTTTTCCTTGTTTTCGGTTGAGTATAGTGTTATGTTATTCTTTTCCAATAATTTCCTCATATTTTTGTTATATTCTTTCCCTTTATCAGTCCAAAGATATTGTGGTTTACGGCCCTCTTTAAAGATAGTTTTGAATGCTTCTGTGACAGTTTTCCCTTTCTTATCCTTTAATGGTACTATCCAGCCATATTTGGAGAATAGATCTAGTACCATAAGGAGGTATCTGTAACCCTTGTTCCATTTACTGAACTGTTGCATTTCAACCAGATCTGAGCACCAAATTTTGTCAATACCGGTTGTAATAACGCGCCGCCGAGTAAAGTTGCGTTTTATTGGTTTATGTAATTCGTCCGCTAATTGTTGTTGCCAAATGATACCCGACGGCTTTTCTAGTTTAAACCAAGACCAAGTTTCTGTTTTGTGTTTATTAGATTTCTAGCTAACCAGTGACCCCATTGTCGCTCACTATAGGGAATGGCGTCTAATGATTTTACCATTTTACGGTCAGCTTTATTTTTGCACTTTCGGTTATCACCACAAACACTATAATCAATATCATGCTGCATGGCCACTGCATCGGTTGGCCCAGTTGGTTGATCATAAATTTCTAATATTTCACCAGTTTCTGGGCTGTATCTTACTTGGTTTTCTAAATCATTATAAGGACCTGTATATTTATGCCCTGGTAAGGTCCATCCGCCTGCGGGTCTTGGTAATTTTCCAATGGCCTTGTGAATATCCAAAGCACCTCCATCAAGATCTTTCCTGTTTGTTTTGTGGTTTTTCTTTGGTCGTATTTTGGTTGATAATTGGTTAAGAGCTTGAGAACCGACATTCTGGATCATTGGATTTAATTTGTCCAAAGTATAATCTATAGCTTTTTTCTGTAATTTAGGGTTTCTGAGCGCTTCTGACCCGTAATATCTCCCCATCTCAACTGCTTTTTTACCCATCCATGGAAGCCCGTGATGTACAAACGCATCAAGAGCAGTACCAGCTACTGTGTCCATTACGCCTGCCCCTAGGACCGGCTGATCTAGTTTCCCTTCTTTACAAACTTAAACTTTTTTATTCCGCATTCAGCGCAAGTGCACCAAAACATAAGTCTACCATTTTTAGCTGTTTTATAACCCGAAGGTTCTACACATTCTGTTTGCTTCTTCTGTTTAACACAATAAGATTTCACCATTATTATATATTTATGTTATATAATTATTGTCTAATCACTATCACTACTGTCTGGAACATAAGTATCTTGGCTGCTATCTGACTCATAATCACTTTCACTCAGGGGTTCACAGTTGCAGCACTCGAAACATCCATATTGATTCACATAATGTCGAGTAACTTCTTGGCAATAAACACAGAACTTTTCAGTCATCTTATATATATGGATTACATAAAATAGTTTATCAGAAATTGGTGATTTATCATTTGATTTGTAAAACTGAAGTTGGGGTTATGTATAACGTCTAATAATGATCTACCCTTTTGTCTCTCTAGAAGATAATATAAGCACCAATAACCGCATAAAACACTGTCTCTTTCTTTTATTTCGTCTGATGAGTACACCATTTTTTTACCGCTTGTTTTCAGATAATTTTTGATTTCATTGGACATGATTAATCCGAACGGGTCAAAATATTCACAATATTGTTTATCCACGTTTCTATAACAAATCCATTGACTGCCCCCGCCCATTGAATCATCAAGATTAATTATTCCTGTTTCCAATTTGTGTATTTTGTCTGGTAAATTATCACGGCTGTAAATACCCCTAAAATATTTTATTCCTTATTGTTTGACCCATTGTAACAAATCAATGTTCGATAATGGTTTGTTTATGAATCTTACAGTATTGTTCCTAGAATTGGGATTGAATTGATAGACTGTTTTTGCCGAGCAGCAGTCCCTTTCCCTTTCTTTTTTTTTTTACTCCCGCACCAACCGGGTTTACCCATGTTCCAAAGAAAGGTGGCGACATGTAGGGATACGGATTATACATTCCGTGGCCATTAGTTGTATCGGGAACATAAACAGATGTTGTATTAGCGGAACCGGTTCTGTCAGCCTGCAGTCCTTTTCCCGTCAATGCATTTAGTAACAGGGGGACACCTATACTCGCTAATAGAGTTCCTAAAAACCCACCCCGCTGTGTTTTCGTCGGTCTGATAACTAATCCGTTGCCAGTTTGGAGAGCGTTAAGAATATCCTTTTTCTGCCCCGTGGTCAGTAAATGTTTGTATGCAACCAATTGTGCTATTTTGTCCATTGGAATAAGAAAACCTCCTCGTTGACCTTTTCCGAATATTTTATCCACACCGAGACTGGCTAATCCTGATAACGCTCCTGATACAAGTGGAGCGGCAGCCTTTTTGACTATTGGCATGGCCATAGGTAGCAACTTACTTCCTAAACTGATTAATGATCCCCACAAACTACCACCCTGTCTAACAGCCTTTCTGATTTGCGTTTTTGATATCTTGATATCCGACCCTGTACCCTGGCTCATTGCTTTTTTCAGTTTACTGATCTGAGTTTTTGTGAAACATTAATTCATGTGGACCGGATAACTCATTTCTAGCTAATCTGATAGTTATTGCTGAACTATTATTATAAGCTCTCGAAAGCTTTTCCAGTTGTCCTTTACTAAGTGACACACCATAAGGATAATATTTCGTCATTACTTGTATATAATATATGTTACATAATTTTAACCATATTCAATTTTCGATCTGAGTATTATTTTACCATCCTTTTGAATTAGCTCAACATCTTGCTCATATAATGTTAACGCGTAAATTGAGTAGGCTGTTGCCGTTGTTCCAGACAGTTCATATTCAAATGTCAGTTTTGTGGTGCCATCCTTAATGTCCATTTTCTGCTTCGTTAAGTCGAAATACAGGTAGGGGAATAGCGTACTAAAATTAGATTTATTGAGTAATGACCCTTCACCGTATTCATTATTTTATTGAACATATTTCAACACATCCCTGAAGACTCTAGTCATATCAATAGTTGGTGTGTAATGTATTTCGGGGTATTCGTTACCGTTTCCAACTTCCAGGTGACAATTGGATAAGGTTCTTGGGTCAGTTGATACAGAGAATGTGTTGTACAAGAATGGATTAGCTGTCTGGGCATCGATATTTGCATCATTGATTATGAATACAAACACGTGTCGGGGTTTTGAAATACCAGAAGAGATTCTGAAATGCCCAGCTGTCTGCTGGCTACTATTTGATCTTTCAATATTCTCTCTCAAATAAGTCCATTTTATGATTTTTAAGGTATTGACTCATGTAGGATGATTGTCCTTCACTGTTAAATGTTATCCGCGGAACATACAATTGCATTCTGGTGATAACCACCCTACAAGCAGCTCCGGCTTGCCAAATTAGATTACCATCGGACTCAATCTCAAAATTCATCTCAACCCTTGTATTGGGCAAGAGTTCATCCTCTAACATTTCGAAAAATGAGTATCTATTCAGTGGTATTTCAGTATTTACTGTAGATGAGGTACCAAGAAGGGCTTTCCGAATAGCAAAACCCTTATTGTAAGCTGCTCTTCTTTTGGCTAATTGATTTGTACCACTAACTTCAAATTCCCGCTCTTCCGCATTTCTGGATGTATCAAGGAAGAAAAACTCATTACTTGCTGTCTTATTGGCGTAAGCCGGACTGTAATCAAGTAAGTTCTTAATATTAACCGCGTGATTTGCGTCATTACAATCATACACTTTCTTGCCATTTCGCTTAATATCAAAATGTTTCAAGAATGAGTACGACCCGTTTACAATTCCATTATGATCTGCTACTGCAATGTTACCACCATTAGCCAGTAAGACTACTTTAAAGTCGAGACTGATTCGAGCATTATACCAATGAAAAGGTGTAACCTCTCCACTGTTATCAACAACAAATCTGTAGCCATCTTTCTTTTGGTGAGCATTGTTGGCGACAGTTGTATTTAGTGCTGTTTCTAGGTCAAAAACAACATCTTCATATCGTTCAACATATTTTGGATCTCCAAAAGAATTCATTATATTAATAGATTAGATAAATCTTCTCATCTGACCCCCGGATAATAATTGAATCACCCTCTCATTAATCTCCTAATCGCTTAGCTCTCTTGATTGTGGATTTTCTATTGGTAACGCTGCTACTGGTGTTTTTGTGTTTTTATTCTTTTTGCTTAATAACTGAATAATTTTATCGCCTGCTTTTTCGCCGGCATACTCGCCAGTAGCCTGAAATTCATCCGATTGCTTCGAGTCGCTTTCTCCTCTCAACAACGTCTGAATCGACGGGCCGTTAATGCCGTCCAGTGACGTCACTCACTACCCGAAAACCGGGTAGTGATTTTGATTGGTTGATTGTCTAAACATTCGCATAATTATGTATAATTATGAAAAATTTTAGCGGGATTGTCGCTTGATTTTCAGCGGATCTCATCCCTGGCGTTCTTTCGTGTAGTTCAAACATTTCGATAAGCTTAATCTTTATCTTAAACAGCAAAATTGCCCTTGCCTACGAAACTGAAATGCTAAATTGAACTGCGAATGAAGAATCATTGAGGAGAGTCGGTAGGTTTTTCATTTAGAGCCGCTTTGTGGTTTCGGCGGCCGGTGATTTTGTTTACGCGAAGTTTTCTGAGATCAATGTTATAATCTTCTTGCTATTTTCACCGTCAAGTGCAATGATTCTGTTAGCTTTTCTCTCTTGTTTCCTTGTTTTTTTTCTTCGCTAAGGACCAGATAGCTTCTTTTCAATTATAAAGCAAATCATTGTGTTTTTGAACTAAGTGTTTCGTGTTTGTGTTTATTTCATTGCGTGATTGCGACCGAGTTTGATTATAGAATTCAGTACAACCGGTTCAGAGTTGTACTGCATGCAGTTGGTAGTTTGAACGTTAAACATGAATTACGATCGAAAAAAATAAAGCAATTCTGTATCATGCAGACATTTCCAAACGATATTTCTCTGGTTGCCACTTGAAAATCGAGTTTTACTTTTTGCATGAATTAAAGCAAAGGTCAAGGCGTAGTGACGTCACTGGACGGCATTAACGGCCGGTCGATTCAGACGTTACTGAGGGAGTAATAACGACTCGAAGTAATCGGATGAAATTCAGGCTAACTCGCCAGTTTTGGTAGCAGCTTTCTGAACAGCCTTCTTGGTCGCTGTTTTAGCAGCTTCCTTCATGGTCTTTCCAAACAACTTTCTGCCGATTGTTTTGAAAACATCGGTAACAACACCTTCACCATAAATGTGCTTCTTAACATATCTCCCCGTTTTAACATCATAACGTTTCTTAAATTCTGATTGTCTCATTGTATATTATTAGGTTAGATATTATGCCGGTTTGGATCGCAATATCAATGTCATAAACCAGTCAATCTTATTTAGACCAATCGGTCGTCCCAGTGAATCTGTGATGTAAAACCTCATTTGTGAAATATTAAGCTGCGAAACTTCATTAGACAATAGTCTTCTGGGTTCAAATGTGAATGGGAAGCTTCTTGTCAAATTGTCAGCTGGAATAACAGCTAACGTATTAGTATTAACACCATTCAATATGCTCGTCGTAATAGCATCGGTATTGATATAAATCATGTCAATGGAATTTGTGATATTAGGTAGATTACCATCCCCATATTCTGTTTTCTTCACAATTTTCTCTGTAAATCCAATTAACTCGCCAAATTTACTATTTCTCATTTTTCCTGCTTCAATTTTAGGAATACTGAGTCTCTTGAATCTTTCTATATCCATTATACTATTGTGTTATATAAAACTTATCTCAATTATCTTAACTTATCTCAAGTTATCTAACATAATAGTATATGGATATTCCAAATTCTGATTTCAATGAAGATGAAAATACAAACTTCAAACAACTGTATAAGTATATGCCCAAATCCAATTTTAGGATGCTAATTTGTGGCATTTCAGGGTCGGGTAAAACAAATCTACTTTACCACATCCTTATGAAACCATTAGTCTACTATGACCAGATCCATTTATACGGTAAAAACTTGGAACAGGAAAAGTATCGACACATGATAGAAAAAATGAATGACATTAGTAGCCAGGTTGGATATGACATAATGCATTGCAATAATGATGACATCAAACCTGTAAATAGTCTGGACAGCGATGCCCAGAAAATTGTAATATTTGATGGCTTCATTTGTGATAAAAACCAAAAGCTGCTTATCGATTATTTCATTCAAGGCCCTCATAAGAACTGCAGTGTTATTTACCTTTCGCAATCATTTTATAAAACTCCAAAAGATATCAGACTAAACTGCAGTCATTATGTTATTTATGATTTCCCGAGCAGTAATGAGAGAAATATGATCTCTAGAGAGCTGAATGTGACAAAGGATCAATATATTAAAGCAACAAAACAACCATACTCATTCCTGTATGTTGACAAACCAATGAAGACTGTCAAAAGAAACGTTTTTGGGAATATATAATGCATTATCCTTTCTCTGGTAGATAATTATATAACCAATAATATATGAAGGTACATTTGAAATTCAAAAGTCTCCAATATGCTCTAATGGCAACTGAATTGCTATATGACCTCCATCCTGTAATATTGAAAGATATGCTAGATATGAAACGGGCTCTTGGTTCAATTCTTGGACAAATTATCCAACCAAATCAAATAACGTACGAGCAAAGAGAACAACTTACCAAATTAATATAATCTATTTATATGGAAGTATATCTAGAAATTGAAGATGTCAAATATGGTAGAATGATTGCTGAATTATTTGAAAATCTATCAGAGGGTTGTTTATATGAACTTCTTAATCACAAACATGAATCTTCAGAACAAGCTCGGATTATTGGCAGAGTTATTGGGATGGATGATTCAATTACTAATGAAGAAGCCAAGCTGTTAAAAGCAAATGGATTTTGTGTAAGGGACATAACTGAATAATAAAATAGTAGTGGATGAAAATATTTAATGTACTATTATAAAATGGGAATATTTAATCAGCAACCTAATTATAATCAATCATACTCAAAAGGAAAACGAGGAATTACTGGCCCTCAAGGACCTCCTGGCCCGCCTGGCCCTAAAGGTGCTCAGGGTATTCCTGGTCCCGCTGGTGCTCAGGGTGTCCCTGGACCTACTGGCCCGCCTGGCCCTAAAGGTGCTACTGGTGCATCAGGCACTGGTTTTAATCTCACATCAGATGGGAATTACGATATGACAAGCAAAAAACTAACAATGGTGGCTAAGGGAACTGATTCCAATGATGCCGTAACAAAAAATCAACTGGATACTAAACTATCACTCTCTGGTGGTTTAATGACAGGCAATTTGGATATGAATAATAATAGGATATACAATGTAGCACAACCAGATGGTGATAACCAACCAGCTACAAAAACATGGTCAGAAAATAAATTAAGAAATAAGCGTTGACAGGCCAAACACGACTCATAAGCTCGTGATAATGTGAAACGTGACCTTGAGAGTCTGCTTGAACAGTCACGGTGGTTCTCTTTCTTTTTTCTCTCGAGCGAAGGTTACTAGCGCTTCACAGTGCAAGACGTGTAGCATTCTAAACTTTGACTGAGTAAATCTTGTTTTTGCCGCACTGTCTTGTATTTAGAGGTCATGAAGCAGGTTTGTTACATGCATACTGAGTAATCATTTCCTGTGGTTTATGCTTCTGTACTAGGTGTCCCTGACAGGATTTGATTTCAGATGCAGTTGTTAAGTGTTTTATATCCTTTGACCTCTGTTCATTACGGCTGAATAAAGATTTTAGTTTTTTGGTTTTCTCCGAAATGACTGTATCTGAATAAATACATGCATGCATGCATGCAAGTTTCTTTGTCCGTGAATGTGATTATTTCCTGCCATGTCAGTATGACTCTGGGCCCAGCTCTATAGTATAGTGTGGTTTGCAGGATTTTGAATTTCCACGGATAGTGCGATCTTCAGATTTGAGTTTTACACTGTAGCTTAAAAACTAAAGCTACACCAAGTTTGGAGAAATATGCCGTGCGTCAGTCCAGATAATTCTCTTAGCGCTCACACAGTCCATTTAGTTTTTCTTAACATAAGTGAGTCTTTGAACTAGAGCGCGATGTCTTGTTGTTCCTTCGTAGGTATTTACTTAAGTTTTAGCTTAACAGTGGTCTGTGCGACTGCTATGAATTCTTAAGCAAGACTGCAGTTTCGGAACTATAGCGTTCCTCGTCAGTTGCTACTATGGTAAAGTCTTAGGTACAGAGAGCGAAGCAGACTGTTTAAATACTGGTGGCTAGGATCGAAAATACCATTTCTGGATAAGTCCAGTGGAGTAATGGCTGGACCACTAAACATGTCCAATAATAAAATTACTCATCTTGCTAATCCCAAAGCCGATAAGGATGCTGTATCCCGTATTTATGGTGATGGACGGTATGTTAAAAAGGGTGGAGATACAATGACTGGTAATTTAGCATTGGGTGACAATTATATAACTGGATTAAATTCAAAACAGACAGATTATGATACAAATCAACCCAATCTACGACAAGAAATCATTGATTGGAAAAATGCTAAATGGGAAGATAGAACAGACAATAAATTTTATAAAGCTTATGAACAATGGACAATATATGATTGCTATGCCACACCATTTTATTTTATAAAACAACTACAATTGTTTTGGTTGTTAATGAATGATAAAGATTATGCTACAATAAACGCGTTTCAAGTATTAACTAATAAATCGAGACAATCTCCACCGTCTGAATCCCAAACAAGTAATAAATATTTTAACCTATTTGGTATGACTGCCACAAATATGGAAAACCCGACTGATGCTACTGATGGGGTTAATCTAAGAACATTGAATAAATATAATATAAAGCCACCTGATCACACCAACAGATTTGCATATCTCATGGATCCTACAAATGCTCTTTTACAATGGACTGCTTTACTAACCAACAGTATTGCCCTAAACAGCATTGGTGATTTGAATGCAACATCGGGCAATTATCATACATACAATAAAAAGGTCATTTACGCTTCCATTAGGAAAGAACTCACAAGGAGGTTATAAATGGCGATTAGCTATCCAATGCTATCCCCTTCAAAAGGACAAAGACTATACATTATGTTTGGAAATCCTCACTACTGCTATGAATTGTGGCACAAATCTGTAACCACTTTTGATACAACTACCAGCCAGGGAGTAACTGTAAAAAATTGGCATGTTAATAAGTACTCACATGAGTATAGAACATCTTCCAATCAGGTTGAGTATATGTATTATCATAAACTCCTGGTGACATCCAGCAAGACAGCTTCATCCACTCCTTATTTCTTACATATTCAGGATGTTATGGCCCAGTCAGGAATTGACTTGAATACATATCCAACTAATTTCAATAAATATTACCTAATAGCTTTACGGTATTCTTGGTGAAACAATGGATTTAAATCCAAACAAAACTTATGATTACCATACGGCATTTAATATCATACCAACAGAAGTTGTTTACAATGTTAATCTGGATATGAACAGAAAGAAGATACTGAATATTGCTCCAGATCGCACTAAAAATAATTCGGCTGCTACAAGATGGTCAAGGATTTGAAGACAAAATTGAGCCCTTATACAACAAATAATGTGTATAGGGAAATATTTGAGGAATTTTATGATTTAAGTGATACTGGAATCTATAAACTACAAACAAGACCATCAGGTGTCGTATTTATAGGTTGACTTCCTAACATATATTTCACAAGTATGTTTATTGCCAATGTTGAGAAAGGGGGATTGAGGATACAAAATAAACCAATAAGTTTAAGATTATTTGGTAAAAGGAGCTTTACTCTTTGTGTTGTTATGCAGCTGTGGCTGAACAAAAACATGTACATTAAAACGTTTATGAGAAAGGAAGTTGATGAAAAACCACACTTGTTTTATGACAAAACAACAAAGAAATTAAAACTGCAAACTAATGGTCTGAGAGACGGGTCAACTAATGAGACTTCTATCACATTATTGAATAGTTTCAATGGTAAACGTGTTGTGTTTTGGCGAACTAAGAAAGGTACAGGGAGTGACTTAACAGTAAAAGCTTCAGTTTCAAATTATTCTGGAACATTAACATTAAGTTCGGCTTTAGCATCTCAGAGTAACTACACATTTAGAATATCCTCAGAAGATGCAACAATCTATAGAATTATGTATTCTCCAAACTTTTATGACCTGGATTCTCACGAATTTCATACCATATTGGTGCAAGAAAAACTGAACGGTTCTTATGTTCTGTAATTTGTCTAAACCAATAATATAATGAGTCAAAAGGAAAATATATTTCGCTTTAATCATATTGACAAAAGTAAAACAAAAGAGGAAATACAGGAGATCAAAGAATTGTATAAATATTATCATTTCAAGTATTGGTGTTACCAAAAGGTCTATAAATACTTCAAAAAACTGAATCTCTTATTAAACATGACATCATCTGGCCTGATAGTAGTTGGAGCTGTTGCTGGTGGTTTGACAGCCAACCCAGCCATTCTAGGAAGCATATCAGGAGCTGGTTTAGTTCTAAAAACATTCTCTGAGACAAAAAACTATAAAAGAAAAATTGAGATGGCTCTGTCTGCTTACACTTCTTACGACAAGACATTAGTTGGTCNGAACATGGGAGTGGTCTAAGGTGTGGGGTGTGGGGCGGGGTGGTTAGCAACACCATAAATCCATTTGATAGTTAAAGGAGGGGTTGTTGTTGTAGTAAAAGTTTCTGAAGAAAAAAAAAAAAGATAGATAGTTAGTGGGGTTCTTCTCTTGTCCTCCCTTTGGGCAAGGAGGGATGGGGGGTGGGGGGGGGGGGGGGGGGGGGGGGGGGGGGTACTCAGGATTTCAAGTGACGAGGATGATCGAAGGATTTTTTTGGGTTTGAAATTTTTGATTCCGGGATTTTTTTGGGTACGAAAATTTGGCAAGTATTTTTTTGGGTAGCTTGATTTGAGTAGCGATTTTTTGGGATATTAAAAAGAATCGGTAGTGCCCTGGCTGCGTAGTTCTGCGAGTAAAGTACAAACAAGCGTGTTTTGCTGTTGTTTAATAGTTAACTATGGTGTCGCTTTACATCTCACGTGTTATACAACAGTCTGCATTTTTGGTCCAGGGATTTTTTGGGGTTTTGCTGGAAGCCCTAGGGATTTTTTTGGGTCTTGACTTTTGGCTCCATTAGATCATCCCCGTCACTTGAAATCCCGAGTAACCCCCCCCCGCCCCCGCTGGGGTCTGAGGACTTCGTTGCGAGGGGCTACCTTTAACAAAGACGACTTCTTGAAGGAAATGACAGTCCTCGATGAAACCATTGTCGATTTTGCTCCATTAGTGACAAGATTTGAAAAGCAGTACGCTAAAAAGTTCCTCTCCTGTCCAACAGAAACTGTGAAACAAAATGGCGAACAGTTTGAGACAACAACCTCGTCCCCAGGGCCTCTTGCTCAATGAGTAAAATCTATTTCCGGTTAGGGGCTTTCCCTTACTTCCTGTCTAAATTCTGAGAAACCAGACAGCTAATATCGGCCTTAATCAAGGAATAAACTCTCTCCCACCAATTTTCATAATATCGTAGTGTATTTTTTGATCGAGTGAGGGGAATAATCTTATATTCTACTCCTAAAATATCAAAAAGTTCTTTTATAATAAAATTACACTAATAAGTCGTCTTCCGCGAAAATTATTGACTTGCGGTATAACTTGGTCAATCAGCCGAAATATTCTCAGAATCTTCTCTCTATTATAATAACCAACATGTATATTATTATTGTGTGCAATATCATTGATGACATTCAAAATGTGATATTTTCTGTGGCATACAGACTTTCTTTTCATTTTATGTCTTTTTTCATAAAAGTCAATATACTCGTCTGCTGTTAAATAATCATGTACTTGGCCACAATTTTTACACACAAGAAGTTTATCCTTTATTAGTTTCATATTTTTACAGCAAAAATATCGCTTGGGCTTACCAGGGCCCTGAATCTGTTTATTACAAAAGATACAATTATCATGACCCTCTGGATCAATAACTCATGAACTTCTTTATTACACATTACTATCTACTATATTTAGATTGTTTATTTTTAAATATTACCCTCGCTCGACTTCACAAATGATTATAGTTTCACAGAATTTTCTACAGTCTGTAGAAAATTTTGTGTAATCATTTGATTGGCTGAGAGAATAATCTTCCAGAACATTCTAATGACCTAAATAATCTACGCACAGCCAATACGCAAAAATGAAAAATTTCACTGAAACATTTCACAATTTCGTAGCTGAAATGCGTAGCTTCTGATTGGTTAAGGGAATAACCTTCCAGAATATTCTCATGACTTATTTCCTCGGGGAAGCCCCTATTTGATAATGACCGTGAGCATAACTATGTATTCCATCCTCATGGATATATCTTTTATCATCAAAGCAGCTCAAACTAATTTTATTTAATTGGTAGCTCCCAATTTGATGATGGTCACTCCCGATTGTTCGCATGCTGTGTAACATTTGTTTCCCGTTCAATAAGCAATCTTTATAATTCTCATGAGTAATAGTCTTCTTTATAACATACTTTCTAACAACTTTAGCCGCCTTCTCATTCTTACCATTGTCTTTCACATAAGAATACATCTTACTTCTAAGACCAATAAATTCCACAATAGGCATACCAGCTGCTTCATCTTTAACTTTTTTATTTGTTGAATCAAAAAATTTGCTGTCTTTTGGATAATCACTGTTGTCATATAAATTTCTATCCTGCCATAACTCCTCATAAATATCCTGTGTTTCTACTTCATAACAAAGACTTTCTGTATCTATAAATAATAATTTAGCCTTGTTATTGTATAATTTAGCCTTGTTATGGTATCTCTTTTTAATGTAATTATAATGAAAATCATACATGAGTGTCTTTGAAAGATCTAAAATGCACATTCCAACATAAGCTGGTCCATCAAGTTTTAGTGTTTCTTTGATTTTATGAACCACAACAAGGTCCTCAGTGAATATTTTACTGTTAACATATGTTGGCTTGCTTGCAAGTTTAGATAACTTATTTTGATCAGTCACCAATCTTACATCAACACGCTTTCGTAAATTGTCACAAGTTTTGCCATACACTGAATTATTCATAAGCTTAAAAAAATCCTTCTCAAATGCATTTTTGCACCCGCACGCTTCTGTGTATTGAAATCAATATATTGTCTCAACCATGAGCTCTGATTAAATTCTAATACTCTGTGGACTTTTTTCAGTTTCAGACCTAGTGATAGATAAAGTTGTAAATTCCTATAGTGCAATACATAATTCTTCTTTTCTGTTAATGTTGGGGTTAATTTAGCTACCTGTCCTATTGTTACTCCAAGCTTCTCCTGAATAGTTTTATGGTGAAAGCATATCTTTTGTTACCTTCATTTTTTCTGCAGCTAAGGGATAATCATTATGCAGCTCATGTAATTCTTCAGGGTATTCCAAATCAACTTCAAGTATATATCCTTTTTTATTATCAGGTAATATTGTCTTCTTCATAATCTTATCAATTTGCTTCTCTGTTAGCCATTTAAATCCACCTGTTGGAAGATACTGGCTCATCGCATAACCGTATAAATTATTAGCGTCTAGATACATAATATACCTGCTGGGTTTTTCTTTATTGTACTCTTTCATGTATTTATTATTTGCTTCCCCGAATCGGTTGGCGATGTATGAAATGCCTCCACGTGTACCTTTTTCTATAAACTGGACATGTCAATATCAGTCATTAACTCCAAGTTTATATCTGTCATTTTTAACATTGCATCCCAACTCAATCCTGGTGATGTATAATAGTGACATGGGTCTAATTTATAATACTGCAAACATGTACTTCTGAAATTCTCAAAAACATCTGCCAATAGTAAAATATCAGACTTTAAGTATAAATCATGGTAATCACCCATAGTCTGTAGATTAAATATTTCCCAAACTTTTGTGGCATGACAATATTGTTCATCTGTTATGGCATCTTGGGTTAGCTGGCTAAAGAAATCATCTTTGCTTGGCAGTTGGCTCTCATTAAATCTCTCAAAAGAATCCATATAGTCATATGCATAAACACCTTTTTGGGTCATTAATTCTAATTTCTCCTTTTTGAATACTTCACTTGTATACTTGAATTTATCTTTTGGTAAATTGGCTGAAAGACGATCTAGGCTACTGGACATAAATTGAAAACTGTCCAAAAATACTAAATACTTGCCTAGCATAAAAGCCATATATTTCTCCATATTATTAGGAATACAGTTAATATATAATTCATACTCTTTTCCAATTGTTCCTATCTCCTGCATTATAAAATGGGAATCATACCCACGGAGATTATGAAAAATAACTGGTAGCTTGAACTTTTCTGAGCTTATTCTTAATTTCAAGTTACAAATATAATTCATACTCTTTTCCAATTGTTCCTATCTCCTGCATTATAAAATGGGAATCATACCCACGGAGATTATGAAAAATAACTGGTAGCTTGAACTTTTCTGAGCTTATTCTTAATTTCAAGTTACAGTATTCATGTGCAGATCCTCTTTATTGACCTGTTATATGACAATGATCTCTTACACAGATATCTTCATTAGTATATTTCTTACCACAAATATGACACTCTTTCGCAGCATTAAAATTTTGTTTATCCTCACTGCTCATTTTTAATGGTTTCTTGAATTTGGTTTTAATTATTTTTTCACAGTATTGTACCTCTTTTAACATTTCTTCCATGAACTTTTTTACTGGTTCTTCTCCTCGATATATTTTTACCGGTTTTGTATATTTATCATCATAACAGCAAACTACTCTGTAACCATAACTACAGCTTGTGTGTTTTTGATATTTGTTTGTATATGATTTATTCTTATTTGGCTCACATCCTTGTATCTTTTCTGTAACCGCTTCAAAATCTGCATATATCACAAATGGAGCTGGCATCTGTTTTTGATGATTTTTAAACTGCAATATATTTTCACCTTTTTTTGGCATCCTTATTGCCTGTTTTCCATTTACAACCATACAGTTGTCTTTATGTTTTAAAAGAATTTGTTCTGTACTAAACTTTTGTAGGCAATACATACAAAAGTGTTTTTTCTCCCTATGCTTTGTCTTTTATACATCATTCTATTAAAATCCTTAATTAACACATAATGTTTATTCTCATCTTCTGTTATTAATAAAAGATTCAATATATCCTCATTTTTCTATTTGGATACATATATTGGGTGACACTATTTATTCTCATATCCAAATACATTTATATTGATATTATTTTGCTCCTCAATTTTATTATAATCTTTTAACCTTACTGGAAAATCCACTCCCTGGTAATATGGCACCAACGAAAACACTCATTATCCTCATTTTTTAGATTAATTAAGCCTTTTAGGCTATTTTGAAGTTCTTTCGGTAAAGGTATATATGATTTACATTCTAATAGTTTATAATTAACCAAATTAAAATAATGCTCTAAAACACCATCAGTAGTCCAACAGCTTCCATCTTTTAACCACTTAGCAACATCCTTCATTATTTTTTCCTGTGACATTTCTAAGTTTGGTTTGATATCACTTACATTCATTATAATTTGCGCCTTACTATTAAAATACACCATCTCTTCCTCAGGTTCACCATTTTTTAACTTTTCAAAGTTGACCTCTATAGTCTCCACAAATTTAAAACCTCTATTTTGATTCAATATTTTCTCAAAAAATCGGCTGATTGCTAATCTCGTATTTTTTAATTGTTCTAAAATATCTTTATCACTTTTAATAGCCGTATCTCGTATGATTTTGTATATCCCTTCAAAGCTTTACTTTTTCCCGTAATGTTAGTTCTTGGAGCTGGAATAGGTTGAGGTCGTGATTGTTGTTTCTTTGGTCTTGGTGGTTGGTATAAATCATTATTCTCAAAATAACGGATTAATTGCTTGACCCCCATTTTTCTTGGGGCGGGAATAGGGCGTCTTGCTTCTTCCCGTACTCTAACCAAGTTTTCAAGTTCATCATCAGTAACTCCAGATAATAATCTTCTTATAAGTTCATTACGATTAGTCTTCATACTATTACTATATATTATATTATTTTCATTTGAACGCACCATCTGCATACAAGTATACGGCGCTGTCTCTTTAAGTCTCGACAAACCGCCCAAAACCGGTTCAAACCGAATTCCCAAGGTCAAGTCCAAAAAGTGCATATATCAGCAAAATATATAAAAACTGTTCTAAACCTCCAAAAAAGTGCATATATCAGCAAAATATACAAAAACTGTCCTAAACCGCCCAAAAAGTGCATATATCAGCCAAATATCTAAAAACTGTCCTAAACCACCAAAAGAGTGCATATATCAGCAAAATATATAAGAACTGTCCTAGTACCCCCATTTTACTAACTACTTTCGTACCAATTCAAGATAATGATATAAATAAAAGAATATGACGAAGCATATTTTATTTAAGGAAAATGTGTTTGATGACATCCGATCTAAGATAAAACTGTTACTTGGCAATTTATACGCCGTTACACACATATCAAATATTTCGCTTTACAATATTTCTCTTTTATAGATTCTCTCTCTTTCGTAGTTAAATTTGTGATATCATAGGTGACGAATTACTCCTTAATTTTGGCGCGAAATTTCAGCGATAATTTGTAATTTCACATGTGAAATTACAAAATTGCCATGGCAACCTTCCGTACGTCTCAGTGTCAAGATGGCGACGAAGTTTTAAAATGCCTGTGAATGAAGATGTCAGGGCACGAAAAGACGCTTTAGAAAACCTGAACACACAAGAGAACATCAAGAAGGACTCTAACAGGTATTTTGCCGAAAAAGTCTGAAAATTCTGAACTTTACAAGCCAAATTTAAGGTCTAAACATTTGAAATAGTGGAGTTCTCGATCGATATGATCCAGGATAAACATGTCAAAAATCCAAGATTGCTAACATAATTCGTCACCCATGATATTAATAGGTAATCAAATGGTATACTCGTGAAATTAGGGAATAATTTCACGCGTGTTTGGTCCAAATCCTAATAATTTCCCTCGCCTAAAGGCTCGGGAAATTATAAGGATTTGGACCAAACGCGCGTGAAATTATTCCCTAATTTCACTCTTCACCATTTGATTACACATACTAATACTCCTAAAAAAAAATNTATATCAGCAAAATATATAAGAACTGTCCTAGTACCCCCATTTTACTAACTACTTTCGTACCAATTCAAGATAATGATATAAATAAAAGAATATGACGAAGCATATTTTATTTAAGGAAAATGTGTTTGATGACATCCGATCTAAGATAAAACTGTTACTTGGCAATTTATACGCCGTTACACACATATCAAATATTTCGCTTTACAATATTTCTCTTTTATAGATTCTCTCTCTTTCGTAGTTAAATTTGTGATATCATAGGTGACGAATTACTCCTTAATTTTGGCGCGAAATTTCAGCGATAATTTGTAATTTCACATGTGAAATTACAAAATTGCCATGGCAACCTTCCGTACGTCTCAGTGTCAAGATGGCGACGAAGTTTTAAAATGCCTGTGAATGAAGATGTCAGGGCACGAAAAGACGCTTTAGAAAACCTGAACACACAAGAGAACATCAAGAAGGACTCTAACAGGTATTTTGCCGAAAAAGTCTGAAAATTCTGAACTTTACAAGCCAAATTTAAGGTCTAAACATTTGAAATAGTGGAGTTCTCGATCGATATGATCCAGGATAAACATGTCAAAAATCCAAGATTGCTAACATAATTCGTCACCCATGATATTAATAGGTAATCAAATGGTATACTCGTGAAATTATTCCCTAATTTCACTCTTCACCATTTGATTACACATACTAATACTCCTAAAAAAAAATCTGGAGTCATCCAGAAATAGTATTCCATGCCATTTCAGTGTGACAATAATAAGGGAGCCATACGCTATACAATCACTACAGTAGACCATTAACTCCTTTTCCAAATTTCGAAAAAGTGCAAAACATTTCTTGTTAAAATGAGTTTCATTTGCATGAGAGCTCTGCACTTAGCCTCGCTTTGAAACAGAGGCTTGAGTCAACCCGGAAATAGCCCGTATTGGTGACGACTCATTTGTCTCTTACATTGTTCTGCTCATTGTAACCTACAATTAGCGTTGTGTTTTTTGCTCGAAGCTACTCCGATCAAAAGACTCACAAAAGTCATTTTTGACTCTAAACAGTCAAGAGTGTTTAAAAACTGGAGTATTTGAGCTGCAACTCGCCAACAAAACTTTTGACAGACAGTGTACTCAAATAGTGTAACTTCAGAGAACAAAACAATCCACCTCCCTCCTCCCTCCACCTCTTTCGTCCATTCAAAGTTGGGGTATTTTGTTGTTTTCTACAGGCAGCTTGAACAGCAACACAACATGGCATGGAGGGGATGGGGGAGGAAAAGCTTTATTTTCTCCTTTTGAAGTCTATAAAACGTCCAAAGGGCCCCTTAGGGCAAAGTGTCTCAGCAAATTTTGTCGCCGATTGTGGTTCCTCCCCCCCCCCCCTCCAAACCCTGTCGGTCCAAACGCAAAAAACTGAACAGTCAAGTGAAGGAAATGGATTAAAACTTTCTTTAAAAATGTTTTTACTTTTCCCTCGGTAGCT